CACTCATTGTGCTAGTCTAAATAAAAAGAACTCATAATTTCACCGTAAACAACTATATAATAACGTTTAATTTAAAATGGAAATCTCATTTATTATTTCAAAATAAGAAAAAATCAAAACCAACAAAAAAAAAAGGTTTATTTTATGTCCATTTGAACACTTAAATCAAAACTTTAATATTATAAAAAATTATTTTTAAGTATTCAAAAAAATTAACTTCAAATATTAAAATATTTATAGTACAAATTTTAGGGAGTTGTCTTGTGGAGTGGAATGCACTTTCCTTGAAAACTAGAAGTCATGTTTTCTTTATAAAAAAAATCAAAAAATATATAATATTAAGATTGTAAAATTGTGCTGTAAAAAAATCTCATAAAACTCTTTATTATAAAAAGGTAAATATACAATCTTGATGACCGGATTAGATTTTTTACAAGGTTATTTATTAGTCTACAGTATCTCGATTTCCAGCATTTTAAATATTAAATATACTCCGTACATACTAAAAAAAAATGATCATATTTTGAATTAAAAACCGCAATCAACAAAATAAAACATAGTACAGTCAGAAATTTCCCCAAATTGCAAAGTCTGGAATTTTAGTATTATGAATGGAAAGAAGAAAAGTATACAGCAAAATTTTTAATATTAATCATCGGTAAAGTTAACAAGTATATCGTAATAATAATATAGTTATAAAGGAAAAATCAAATCCCGAGTTAAGACTTAATTTTCGTGGAATAAAATTTCACTTTACAGAGACTCAATATTTTATTAATATCTCACTGAGTAAACAATAAAAAGCAAGAGTTTTTATTTGTGGTTTGTATTAGTATAAGATTATTACTATACATGGAAGGAAAATCAATAACGGAAGTTTATTTCTACTTTTTGTTTTTAATCAAGTGTTTCCATAAGATAATACAGGCATATAAATTTAATGAAAGTTTGATATCACTGCTTTTATTATGGCCTTCCTAATAATTAGAGCAAAAAACCACTATTTTAGTTTTTAGAAACATAATGTTCCTTATAATAAAAGAAATTTTTAGTAAATCCTTAAAATCTTAAACTGTTTCATTTTAATCTAATTACTTATTATCATTTTAATTCTTATATATATATATATATATATATATATATATTTCTTTAGTTTAAATTTAATAACTAATGACACTTTTTTGGAACTAAACTGACAATTCGTTCTTACTTCTATTAAAAACATTTGGTTATTTTTATTTAATTTTTTCTAAGAAGAAATATAATTTTAGATTCGTTAACGCCATGTAGTTGGAATGAATTTTTATCTTCTAGCACCTCGAGTACTTGGGAGTTTTAGAGAATTGGAAGTAAACGAGCAAGGAAAAAAAAGGACACACGAAAGGGTTGAAACGTGCACTCTACTCATTACTCAACTATCCCATCCCACGCATCAAACAAACCCCTATTGAATGCAACAATCAAGAAAATAACTCGTTTTCTGTTCTCATTCACGCATAGCATTGCTGAAAAGTCTAAATCATCTCTTATTTACAGATGTAACAACAATGTGAAATCGAATCCTCCATTATTCCCGCCAAAACTAGCTAGCTACATGTTTCTCTACATACACCAAAATAACAATTAAATAGGTCGAAACTCTTCTATCCCTACAAAAATTGCTGTAGCTGCTTAGCTCCAACTCCAAAACAGCCTACAAACGCATGAAAGGAATGATTGTGAACCATGAGAACCGTATTTACATTCAGTTTCCCTCTAGCAAGTTCCTCAATCTGTTCCGGGCCTCTTCAGACAGAGAGCAAGATCTGAATCTTCTCCTCTGGGGTGGACATGATTCAACAATGCTTTGCACAGGTGACAAGCAGATAACAATCCCAGTAAGATTATCTGATGTGTGTAAGCGCAATGCTTCCTTAACAAGCTCTCTTGCACATTGTTGTGGATCATCATGCCTCCTTAATCCACGCCTCACAAGACTAACTGCTTCCTGGCTTGACATTACATCCCAAATGCCATCACACCCGATGATCAAGAATTCATCATCCTCCGTCAATGCGACCACCCGAACCTCGGGCTCGGCGATAAGAGGCGATGCAGAACCAAGTGGGAATTTCAAGTCCCAATCCCCAAGGGCACGAGTCACAGAAAGATAGCCATTGAGATAACCATCATCAATGAAACCACCCAACTCCTCCACCCTCCGGAGTTCTGGTAAATAACTTGGTCTGTGATCTTGAGACATATCAACAGCCAGCCCTCGCCGACAAAGAACAGCTCGACAGTCACCGGCGTTAGCAACCATCAAATGCCTTCCAAGTACAAGGGCAGTCAACGCCGTTGTCCCACAGGAACTGCAAACACTTTGTTCATCAGCCAAAGCAAGGTCCGCACCCAGAAAAGCTCTCCTATGAGAATCTTCCAACCTCTTGAGAGAAACTGCATCAGCATCATATGATTGCAGCATATCAGCATCCTCAAAAAACAATCTCATAGCATTGTTCTTAACAAAAGCAGCTGCATCAGGCCCTCCATGCCCATCAAAAACCGCATAAAACGCACTGGGTATTGGCTGCTTGAACACAAATCCAAGGTGGCCAGCAAGATCATCTATCCGAATGTGCTCATCATCCATTGACCCCCTGGGTCCAATATCCATACAGCACCCAGATCGAACATTTGGTATAAATTTCGTAGCAGGACTCTCTAAAACGGAATCCTCAATCATCTCAGAACAACTCACAACCTAACATCACACAAAACAACAATCAGCACCAAAACCGTTTAACCAAGCAGAAAGAGGCTCAAACAATGACAAAATTCTTAGAAACACCCAATTCAAAATCCTAGTAAAAAATTATAGCTTCTGAAATCCCTCAACCATTCCACACCAAAATTTGATCCCCCCCCCCCGAACCCACAAATCTAACAAAGAAAAAACACGCGAAACTCGCAAATTCACAGATAAATCCACGCCGATTGATGCACAATTATCCACAAAAAAGGGGAAATTGAAAAAGAAGAAAAAAACTAAAAATCCCACCGATTCAAGTTCCAAGAGACAACCGACAACATAACAAAACACCAATTTTACAAATTCTCCCACCGAATAAAAACAAAACCAAAGCCCAAGAAGGCATCCAAATAAAAATCGATTAAAACACCGAAAAAAGAAACCTGGAAAAGGGGAACCCACCGATTCGAAACAAGGCGTTTCAGCGGAAACCGTCTCAAGCCGCACGTGGGCAAATACAGGAACGACGTTGGAGGAGGGCGAAACGACGTCGACCTTAACGGCGTGTTCTTGCGCCACACGAAGGTGGTACTTGACGTCCAACATCGGAATGCTCTGCTGGCACATGATTTCCGCTTCCGTCACCATCTTCTGCCTCACGATCATCACCACTACAACGCCAATCAAACGTTTCCAATTAGGGTTTTCTCTCAACAACACAATTGCGCTTCCCTCTTTCTTTTTTATTTTTCCCTCTTTGCCTCAAATTAATTCGCGGGAGCATTTATAAAACGCGCTCCCACGGAATTTCACTTTCACTGTGCCGCCGGAAAATACCCAAATACCCTTCGCTCTCCCCAAACAATTTTCCATTCAATTAAATGTTAAAATCGTGGAACCAGTGGTGGCGTGAGTTCGACACGCTTCCGTATCTGACGCAAAATTACGACACTACCCCTACCTCATGCTTCTAATCAAAGTTTATGTTAATCGGTCACCCATTATTTAATTATGATATTATATTAGGTAAGAGAGATTCTCCTATCGACTAAATTAATTTCTAATTTTTTTAAATTAACATGTGTAGATTCTTTTTTTCACCAAATCAACTCTTTTATCAATAAAATGAGACTTTATATATAAGTGGAGAGTCGAACTTCAATTTTAAATTAAGGAATCATGTGCTAACAAACTTTTGGTACGTGTAATTATGTATGAATCACAATTCTTAGTTACTTTTAATATGGATTTGCATCAATAGTAATATAAATTAATATATTAAAGAAAATATGTTTCGTAAGGGCGTAGAACAGCGTGCGTGTGTGGATATTGAATATGCACTATGCAGGACATAAGATAAGAGTACACATCTCCTTTCCCTTTAACAACTTTATTTGGTTGATTAAGATCTTAGACTGCGTATTCTTCAAGTAGTTGTTAACCAATAAATGGAAAGAAAAATAATATACTATCGAGTTTTTTTATTTATTTTATTTTTCGCTATTTTTGTTTGTACCTTTCAAGTTCATTGAAAATTGAAGTGATAAAATTTCTAAAGGTGTTTTGGTTGAATGATTTGTTGATATCTTAAAGTAAGCATTTGGAAATCACTCAAAATACAAGTAATTTGATTTAAATGGACTTCGAAATTCAAATTTTGTGTTTGAAATCCATCGACAACCATAAATGATTTGAATTTATCTATCTTTTTTTATTATTATTTATTGAACTCTACTTTAAGCACATTAAAGATGAGTTGAGTTTTTTGTGTTTAGCTAAATTATATTTTTTATTACTCTAATAATGAATTGTAACTTTGGTTCTCCAACAATTTCTTATTAAATGGTGTTAAAAAAACCAAATTCTTATTAAACTGTAATCTGTCGATATCATTAAGTTTTTAAAAGCGTTTTCATTTATGGAAAAACTCAATTTTTATTTTATGCTCAAATAATAAAAAATTCAAATGAACATAGGGTAGAAAATGGCTTAGAAGATCCAGAACTTGATTATTTGAACAATTTTATAAGGTGTGATGCTAAAGTTTAAAATAGAAAAATGTTGAGTTTTTTTTTTAAATGGACAAATATACGGCATTTTAGATGGTGGATTTTGAGGGAAATTGTTTAAAACGTGTTTATTGAATTTAGTTCATGAAAATTTGAGAGAAAACCTGTTAAATTTTTCATAACATAATGGATAACAAATCGGATCACAGTTGAACAAATTTAGGGCACCAAATAATAATTAAGAAAGGGTCAATAATACTTACGTCTCCAAGTCATTTTTCCTAAATATATAAACTCACTTGAAAGCCTTTAAATATCTTCTATGATTGCCTTTAGGATTGTCTTATACATTGTAAGATAAAATCGTATAAAGTTTTTTTTTTTAATCGTATATTCCAAGATGTGTATTTATAAAGTGAAAAGAGGTCCTATTATTCCATTCAAACCATTTTCTTTTTTTATGAAGAGTTACAATTGTTCCATCCATCGTGGTTCCATTCAATTGTAGACACTACATTCGATAGCACACTTGCCATATAATATTTAATATCTATTGATCACATTATGGATATTCTAAGATATATAAAAAAAAAAATCATTCAACCAACTACATCTTACCATGCTGTTAGGTAGTATATATTAATTTTCTAGATTGTGTAAATGACCCCACTTATAATTGAATTGAGTTTCTAATTTGGAAAGAAGAGTTATAATATAAGAAAGTAACTTGGGTGAAAAAGGTTTCGGTTACAATCTTGTCATTGATTTTATTCGATAAAATATTCTTTTAAATGTGAATGTAGAGAATTTATATACAAGGACGGTTCAAACGATATCGGTGTAACTTTTACTAAGTGTTACATTGTTCAATAACTTTATATTAAATGTAAATTTTGAAAATTCAAAAAAAATACCAGTAAAAGTTAACGACTATCCCTTAAATATAAAGAAACATGACATTGACATGTGATAATCCAAAAAAAAAAAAATTTAAAAATTAAAAATTTTAAAAATTAAAAATGAGAAAATAAAAATTATAAATTAGGAATAAAATGAGAATGGGTTTAGAGAGTATTTAGGTAGGAATTTTTTTTTCTAATACATGACACGTATCCCAACCAATACCTTATTCTACTAAGAGTAATCGATGATTCAGCACCCACCTTGTTATGCTTTCCATTTCAATATTATTATATTATTCTATTTGATATATCAAAGTGTGCTATCCTAATAATGCTATGCTTGCTCATCATCTCATTGCTTCCTGCCTATTAGACACTTGGTTTGGTTATGGCTGGGAAAAACAAATAACTCAACTCAAGTCAACTGGTGATAAATTAAATTTTTCGTAAAAAATCTTGAATCCAACTATTTAAAAAATAAAATAAAATTCAACCGAACTACATTGCTTAAGAACTGAATTATTTTTATAAAAGAGTAAAAATTAAAAGTGTCTAAAATGGTTTGTCTTAATTCGATAGTGTAATGATCTAAAAAGAAATTATCTGAAAAAATTATATCAATTTAGTTAGATATGAGAGACCAATTAAACTATATTAGACCATTAATTTTTAGGTTTGAAACTTATTAAATCTATTTGACATGATATTTTTTTATATTTTTATTTAAAAATAAATAAAATAAAGTTCACAAATTTATTCTATTTGATAGACTAATGGATTAAAATAATTTAATTCAAAATATTAGAATGAGAGTTTTGTTGATTTTAACCTTATAGATCGATCCTATTAGGATAATCATGCTTAAATTAGATAAGATCATTACCAATGATTTTTTTGATATTTAATATAGTTACATGTATAAAATTTGAACTTAAATTTTTTAGTTAAAATAGAATAACCTCAGATCTTGATGCATTCAGCTATTTTTATTTGGAATCATTTACCAACAATATATATTTAAATAATAACTAATAAAAGTGGAAATGTATGTTTTTTTTTTTCCCACAGGATAACCATCAATAAGCTGTATGACTTTATGACAATAAAAAAATGCAATGAATATTGGCAAGTCATTTTAATAAAGAAAATATATAAAATAATAAAATAAAAAAAAAAACAGGAGTTGGGTCCACAGAAATTGTGGTTGGATTCTGAATTAATTTCTTCCTTTTGATGGGAATTGTGGTTGTAGGAAGGAGGCATGGATGTGTGAAAGAAGCATTTCATCGACCACCTCTTCTTGGCTTTTAGGTGCCACCATTCACCCTCAATACCCTGTCTCACCTTTTAAACCATATTTTACACGCCTTCTATATATAATCTATTCCTCACTTTCTATATTTATTAAAATAATTCATTTAAGTGTTTTATTCTAAGTGTTACTGAGGTTTAACTTAATCAATGTAGGTCAAATATTATAAACTTCCTTAATATCTATGCATGAATGATGAGATAAACTTAATTTACTAGCTTATTTATTATTTTATAAGAGCTTTAATTCTTACTATACTTGTAAAATTAATCTATTCACTTTTTTTTCCTTCAATTATATGAGTTTGGCACAAATTTTTTAGTTCCAACTAACTATAATATGGTCATTATAATTGGTATGTATATATAAAAATAATAATAATACTAGTTTAGCACATGTCACACATATGGATCAGTTGATCCATTTAAATTCAACTTTTCCACTTTCGTTTCCCCAGGCCTGGTATAAGGGGATGAAAATGGGTTGCTTTACATTGGCCTATTAAGGAAAATAGGTTGGATTAAATATATTTTTAACCTTTCAATTTTTTTTAATTTTTTTTTAATTTTTAAATAATTTTTATTTACTTTTAGTCGTTGACATTTTTTTTATATGGACAATAAAATTTGAAGGAACAAAAAAAAATCCAAAGATTAAAGGTGAAAATTAGTAAAAGTTTATAGACTCAAATTAATAATATAAAAAAAAAGAAAGTAAAAACATATTTAATCAAATATGTTTCATTTTTTTCTGCATCTCTCATTTCTCTTTGAACCAAATAAGAAAAAAGTAACCCCAAGCGTGTGATTTAGTAGTAGGGGTTGATCCACGCTTAAGCAAGGTCAGGAGTTCGAATCCTGCATTGTGTATGCAGTCGCGTTAAATCTGCGTTCGACAACGAACCTAAAAAAAAAATAAGAAAAAAGTAACCCCAAGCGTGTGATTTAGTAGTAGGGGTTGATCCACGCTTAAGCAAGGTCAGGAGTTCGAATCCTGCATTGTGTATGCAGTCGCGTTAAATCTGCGTTCGACAACGAACCTAAAAAAAAAATAAGAAAAAAGTAACATTTCCTCTCTTCACCACCTCTTAATGAAACAATTTTTTTACCCATTTTACTTCTCTCATTAAAATTTAAAATCTCTTTCCTCCTTTAAAAAAATAAAAATAAAAAAATAACAAGGCAATGAGAGATAAAGGATGTAAGCGTAATTTCTTAATAAAAGAATGTAAATAGAATAATGTTAACTCAAAGGGAAGGTCCGATTCGTATGACAAATTCAAAATTTATTTTCAAAATTAGGCCAATTAAATGGCGCAAATGTTACTAGCTAGTTAAAAATAATAATAACGTATCATATCATAAAATTTATTATATTCCCGACATGATTTTTAATTATTAATTTCCTTTACCAATACACATTGTTCTTAAATTCTACCATTCTAAAAAAAGAAAAAAAAAATCTGATTCTAGCAAATTGGCACAAGGTTTGGCAGTCACTGTTCTAGAAATGATTAATGGAAATTAACTTACTACCATCACTGAATTAGAATATTCATTGATAGAAGGTTTAATGCCTACTAAAAGCAGGGACGAGACATGACGTCGAATATTATGCCTCTTATGCTATCTAAAACTCTATCTCTCTCACTATATATATCACAAATTGCACCCCATGCATGCAAATCTACCAAGATAATACCCTTTAATGTTTAAATAACAAATGAATCCAGATAGCTAGTGAAACATTCATCTTTCTTTATGCACAAGTATAACAATATAATTAACACCCTCCTTTGGCTTTGATCATCAGATTAACAGGTACGACTTTTTTTTTTTTTTTATATAAGAAAATATCAAATGTTTCTAATTATTTTTAAGCTTTTATTTTGATTTACAAAAATATATTTTTAGTGTTGAAACTTTATTCGAATTTTGTTTATAGTTCTTAACTAAGATTAATCTTCCTACCTAAACTTTTTATCTGTTAATATCGTAAGTGATATATAATCAAGTTGATAGTCATTTAGACAATTATATGACTTGTCAAATTATCATAAAGTCTAGTGTGACAATTATGTGTAACTTTTTTTAAAAAAAATATATATATTTTTAGTTTATCATCTTTTCATAAAATTTACTTAATTTATAATTTTTTTTAATGATATTTATTCTTTAACTATTTCTTGTCATTGTAAGTAATCTTTCAACTTATTTCTTTAACAAATATGATTAATTGTTAACGATGTGACTGTTTATGACTTATCATGTGAACTACTAGTTTTACATGATAATGAGACGTGATAAAATATTGTTTGTTTGAAATATTTTTATGTTCTTAAGGTGTTACAATTTTTTTTATAGTATAAAACTGTTAAAAAAAGGGCTTGAGAATTTTAAAAAAATGTAATAAAAGAAATCAACAACATACAATAAACAAATCAACACCCAACTTAAAAATTCTTGAGACAATGAAACTTCTTGTTATTGCCTAACATGTTTGTTATCATACACACTTCATGTTTGCCATATGTGCATGTTAGTTCCTGTGAAACAAAATTATACGTGGGGAAAAGATTAAGATGAAAGAATTTAATGTTAATTTTTTTGAAAAGTGGGGTCGATGATTGAGATATGACAGGGTTCAAAGATTGAAGTTCTCTTGTCTAGAGTGTTGATTATAGGTTAATTAATTCATGATTTGTATTATCCTTATTGGTTTTCTTATTATGAATTGTTGATTTTGCGTTTTGAATTTTGATTAAGTGAATTGTTGATTTATATACAAGGGTCGTTGATTTTACTTACTGCTTAGTTTCTCTTTATTTTCTCTTTCAATTTTTCAAACTCATTTTTGGTTATCACATCATTGCTCAATGATAATACTTGATGTGATTGTCATGTAAAAGTAATTAATTACATATTAAGTGACGTAGTTGTTAATGTGCTATATATAAAAAAATCATTTTTAATTTTTATATGTATATGTTAAATAAAATATTATTTAACATTAAAATAACTATGATTACAAAAAGAAAAGATATCCTCTTCTTCCTTTCCCTTACTTTAAAGAAGGTTTTATATATAATAGAAAAAAGAAAAAAAAATCACTTATGAGTTACACACCCATTTATTTGTCCCCTCTTTTCTCCTTTCTTCTCAACTAAGTGAAGATATGATGCGTCTCATCTTTTGCAAAAGTACGACTTACCATAAGAATAAAATTAATATTTATTGTTTATTTTAATTATTTCAAAGATTTAATTATTATGTAATTCCATAAACTATTTGAGAATTTTATACCCTGGCTATTTTGAAAACAAAAAACAAAAAATAAAAACATAAAGGTGTTAAAAATTAAAACTCATTTAAGAAAATATATAACCTTCACGTGCTTGGATTTGTTCCTTAGAGTAGGGAAAAACGCATGTGAACTTGAAACACCCAACAACATTCCTCAAAATGTTTAATTAAAGGTTAAATTATATTTTGAAGTTACTTTATTTTTTTTTAAGATTCTGTTTAGTCACATTATTTTAAAAAGGTTTAATTTAGTTCTTTAATTTTTAAAAAATATTTAATATTATTTTTAAAAAAATTGATATTAATAAAATTAGATGAAATGATAATATTAAAAAAATTGAAAATTCAAGAACTAAATTGAATATTTAAAAAATATTATGAACAAATTAAATAAAAATCTATTTAAAAATTTTTGTCAAATAAATTTGAAATTTTCTTATTCACCTTGATAAAATCATGATTGACAATAAATTGTATACTTAAAATAAAAAAAAAAAAATGATCACAAAATTGAAAAAAAATTAATTTATATAGAAAAAAATTGTTAAATAAATTTTTGTTTAATTTAATTTATGTATTTATAAATCATTCAATTTGATCTTATTATTTTTAAATAATTTAATTTAATCTTATAATTTTTAACTAATATTTAATGTTGTCCTTCCATTATATTTTATTAACGTTATTAATGTTTAGATGAAAAGATAATATTAAAAAATTGGAAAAAAAATTAAAAAATAAAATAAAATAATTTAAAAATAATATAACTAAATTGAATCATAAAATAAATGAAGTAATGAAAATATAATGTATCCTTCATTAAAAACTCATAATGATAGCATAGCACATACAAACAAAAATAAGTTTAAACTAATGGGTTATCTCAACATACACGGAAAAAATAAAGTGTTTTATACCTAAGATTCATATGTTGTTCACATTAGTGTCTCAAAATAAGAACCCCAAAAACAAAGCTAGCTATATGGATTAACTTTATAATTAACCATCTTCCATTTGCCCGTGACACAAACTACAAGTACAAATATACACCCCGTGATTTCACCCCTAACACGTGTCCATAAACTAAATGTGTAAAGGAGAAAAAGAGATTTCTGCAGAATCTGGTTGCATGTGATGTGAATATGTGATCATAATATTATTGTCCAGCTCAAGGGGCTCTCCAATTCTTTTCCTCTATTTCTTATTTATTTATATGATTTTAGATATATAAATGGCATTTAATATTAATTATAAAAATAATAATTAATATTTAACATCATTTATACATTCAAAATTATTATATAAAAAAATAGAGAGGATGAGAATTCCTATTTCATGGTGGCATTGTTTTACAACCACTAACTCCGCGAGTGCCACGTGGTGTGGTAGAGAGCCACAAACATAAAAAAGTGCACCCCATAATCTCTCGATCAGGACACAAACTTTTGCTGTGTTCAAATTGCGATTGGTGATTTGTTTTTGAACTCTCGCATGTGATCCTACACACGTGATAGGTTAAAACAAAAACCAATTCATGCTTAGATGATTGTGTATCTAATAATTATCGTAAAGTTTAATAAATTTAGGCTAAAATAGTATTTTAGTCTCTTATAATAACTGTTTGTTTTAATTTAGTCCCACTTGTATTTTTGGTTTCAGAACGGGTCGTTCTTTTGTACTCGTAGTGTGTTAATTTTACATCTGGAACGGTCCGTTTCATATGCAAAATTAACACACCAAGTGTGTACCCAGAACGACCCGTTCTGGTTTCAGAATGGACCGTTTTGGTTCCAGGTGTTTTCAAGATATTTAGCATCCACGTGACATCCACCTATGCATCCACGTGGCCAACAGTTAACTTCGTTTAAATAATTTAGACGGAAGTCTCACATTGCAACCAATTAATTTATTAGGGATCAAATTGAGATAAAAAATAAAAGTAGGACTAAATTGAAACAAACAATTATTATAAGGACCAAAATAGGTCTTTAGCCATAAATTTATCATTTATGATGGACAAATTATGATTAGATGATAATATAAAATTTATCAAAAAAATAAAACTTTTCCTCATAATACACATATTTTACATAGTAAGTTGCTCAATAATATGCTTAGACATTCATCTAACTCAGATAAAGAGGAGAAATTGCACCACTCTTCATGAGGTAGTTGATTTTTTTTATGTTCCTTTATTTGGTTAAATATGGTCACGTAAGAGATATGGATATATATTATAGGGGGATCTTAGTTTTTATGAGGGTCACTTTTTATGTCCTAACTTTTTTTATCTCTTCGTGCGTGTCTATTTATGTTTTGCTTTAAATCATACGGATTTGATTCCACCGTGACTGCATTAATTCTGTTGTCGCGCTCTTTACTATTACTAATTCACACCCACGACGAGTTAAACAATCATAGTCACGAAGAAATGCTAACGATATTTAACACTTTCTTATTAATATCTTTTTACTATTGATTTAAAGCCACAAATTATTGTAAAGTCTCATGATTAAATTATGGGAGAAACTAGTTAAATAAGATGTTAAACTTACAAAAAACTTTGGGTCAATAATAAAAAATGTTAGAGACAATATCTTTAACATTCTTCAATAGTCTCCGTGTGAATTGCTTTAACACCAAAACCACATCCCCTTTCCACACTATTCCTCTCATGCCCCCAAAGCATTTTTTTTCTTCTTCTTTTTCTTTATGCTATTTTTACCAAACTTTTGTACTATTTTGTAACCAAAAAAGTTATTGTACTGTTTGATTTAAAAGGGTGAGAAGGGAAATGGGAAGGATAAACACCGTGATGGGTTTATTGTTATATCTATAAAATAGACAAATAAAAGTATTAAGTTATGATAATACAATCTAATTAGTGTACTTTTTTCTTTTCTTTTCAAATCCAATATTGAGTGGAGAAGAATTTTAACCCTTACTATTTCCCTCCCTTTCTTTTCAAAGTTTTGAATTCCCTCCAACTAAAATGTTAGCAAAGTATTATTCCCTCGAACATATTATGGTCAATGACTTTATGAGTGCATTTTTGAGTTGGTGATGAGAATAAAACAAGCAATGAGTTGGTGATGAGAATAAAACAAGCAAAATAATTTGGAAATAAACAATACAAATGGTGTAGCAATACATTTATTATGATTGTGATATCTAAATTGCATTAATTAAAAGTAGAATGCACCATGGATGAGAAAATAAAACATCTTAATCAAATTCATTAGTTGATTCATCTAGCAAGAGAAAGTTTCTCATTCATAACATGGAAATATAAAATTTGTTTAACTCAAACAAAAATGGTGGCTGTGATTCCGTATGTAAGTTCAATATTTTTTGTTCCTTTCTATGCAGCTTCATATGTTCATGAATCTCATGATGCTCAGCCTTTTATTTTACAATATGTTGCTCTGTTATTTACATAACTGGTTCTAATTAACATCTATAATTCACATGCAATATTTCGTATAAAGTTATTTTTCAATAGTTGCATATATCAGTTTGACCTCTTCCAAGCTATAAAACACACAAACACAAGAAAGACACCAAATTTTCATTTTCACAATTATTTTGATCATTTTCTTGAATAGTAAATCATGGGGCTTTTATTTCTTCTCTACTGTAATTTTACATGTCTTCATCTTACACTAAAATACTCTTTTTTTTTCTACCTTAAAGGTAAAATATATTTGGTCTAATTAATTACCACAAAAGAACTTATTGTTCACGTGTTTTAACCTAAGTTGTCAGTTATAGGCTTATAACATCTTCTATAAAAAATCATAAATGACACATGAAACTCACATGCATAGTTTAGGACAAGTAATCAGTTGTGAGAACAAAACTCAAAATTCCATGGACCTTGATGTAGAATTGTTTCCCCCCACTGTACTACACATAATTCATTTTTATCTTTTGAGAGTAAATAGAGAAAATACTGATGACAAAATTGGAAACAAAAAGAAGAAAAGGTAATACAAATATGGTTAGTGCTAGCACAAATTTCTAGAAAACTTGAGCCTCAAAGGAGCTAAACATACACTTTAGAAAATTGTTCAGAATGCAGTTTCTGAAAACAAATTCACAAAATACAAAAGAGAAACTAATAGTGTTAAACTAGGTCCAAGAACAAAGAAGATAGTTAAGGCATCATGTCACGGATCACAAAACATTGAACATATGCAGTTAAAATAAGAAAGTCAATCATAAAAATGAGGTTAGAGAACAAAGACACAGTGGCAGGTTACTGCAAAACATTGACCTCTAAATCCTCCAAAATTGTCCAACTGTTTCTTTGAGGCACTGAATCAACCAGGATTCAACATGTGTCCACCTCATACTTTAGAATATGTTCACGGGCTATCTAATGTATGCTTTTCAGTATAAATAAGAACCTTTGCTTCAGGAATCCGGATAGTGAATTATCCTTACTAGGCCATTTTGCTTCGAACCCTCTAGAAGTTAGTTTAAATCTACACCATTTTTCTTCGTCAATACAAGATTTCTGAAGCTATATATTTGTATTTTCCATCCACAGATATCATCATATTGGTGGAGACATTGTAAGTTTAGCGTCTAAACTCGGACTTGAAACTAATAATGAGTCTCATTCGTTGGTCTTTTATCCTATGGATAACCATGATTCTTTTTACCCATAATTTGGATAATGTGGAAGGAAGATACCACAGTCACAAGAGGCAGAACAAAAATTCCCCTGCTCATAAGCCACCTGCTAAGTCCCCTACATTAAAAAACCCTTCACCCCCTTCCACTTCCCCTAGTGTACCCTCTAACCCTTCAAACAACATTTTCAATGTAAGATCCTTTGGTGCGGTTGGAGATGGTTCAGCTGATGACACTGATGCAGTCGTGGGAGCATGGAAATCAGCCTGTGCAGTAAAGTCAGGGGTTGTTCTTCTTCCAGAAAATTACTATTTCAAAATCACTTCAACTATCTTTTCAGGTCCATGCAAGCCAGGACTTGTGTTTCAAGTAAGAAGCTTGTTCAATTTCCTACTTCTTCACATCATTTTTCTTTACTGTTGTTGTTGTTGTTTATAACATATATGTTGGAATGAAAATGGGAGTAAGAATCTTACATTGGATGAAGAGGGGCATGTTGAGCAATATATGTACAATAACTCATATATCTATTGCCTTTAGGTTTTGGGTGGATCTGGTGTGGAGTTCATTTATGTGGCTAACTCATATTTTCTTTATTACTACTAATGTCGGTCTAATGTAAACAGGTTGATGGTACTCTCATGGCACCAAATGGACCAGAATCCTGGCCTAAGAAAGATAGTCGCGATCAATGGCTTGTATTCTATCGACTTGATCAAATGACTCTGACCGGGAGAGGAATCATAGAAGGCAATGGGGAACAATGGTGGGATCTTCCTTGCAAACCTCATAGGGTAATCATTTAACCAAGTATATAATGACATTTATAACATGACATTAGTGTTGTATTTATTTAATTTTGAATGAACTCAAACTAAATGTTAAAATAAAAAATGACATTTCAGGGTCCTAATGGAAAGACTGTATCAGGACCATGTGAAAGCCCTACAGTGAGTGAACTACTCATAACTGTTTACATTTTTTTTCCTATCATTATGATTTGTCTTACAATTGTTTCGCTTTTCAATTATAGATGATACGGTTCTTCATGAGCTCCAATTTGGTGCTGAGTGGGGTGAAAATTCAAAATAGTCCTATGTTCCATGTAAAATTCGATGGTTGTCAAGGAGTGATAATTGACAAATTGTCAATTTCTTCACCTAAACTCAGTCCTAATACTGATGGAATCCACTTAGGGAACACAAAGGGTGTTGGGATATATAACTCCATGATAAGCAATGGTAAAGACTAAAGAACAATGTCTCACTTGTTCAATATGGTAGTTTGATTCTGTTTCTTATAAATGTCAGAAAGTAGTTTAGAGAATAATGTAATTTTTGAACAGGTGATGATTGCATTTCGATTGGTCCTGGGTGCTCAGATGTGGACATAGAGGGTGTAACTTGTGCTCCTACCCATGGTATAAGGTATGTAATATGTTAACACACATAATCTTAATTTCAAGTTAAATTGAGTTTTAAATTAGTAATAGCAACTACTAAATTGAGTTTAAACTCCCCAATCATTAATATGACAACAATTTCTATTCTTCATTTGTATCCCCTCATGATTCCAGAACATCATATTGTATTCTATTGTTTTAGTTAGAGAAATCAAAGCCATTTTGAAAACTTTATATCACCAAATGCTTACATTGGTCATTTCATTTCCACAGCATTGGAAGCCTTGGAGTGCACAATTCTCAGGCATGTGTCTCAAACTTAACTGTTCGCAACACCATCATAAAGGAATCAGACAATGGTCTTAGGATCAAGACATGGCAAGGTGGCACAGGCTCAGTGAATGGCCTAAGATTTGAAAACATCCAAATGGAGAATGTGCAGAACTGCATCATCATTGACCAATACTATTGCTTGTCCAAGGAGTGTCTCAATCAAACTTCAGCTGTGCATGTAAATGATGTATCATATAGGAACATAAAGGGTACTTATGATGTGAGAACCCCTCCTATACACTTCGCATGCAGCGACACTGTGGCCTGCACTAACATAACACTCTCTGAAATTGAGCTTTTGCCATATGAAGGGAAATTACAAGATAACCCTTTTTGCTGGAATGCTTATGGAACTCAAGAGACCATGACTATACCTCCACTTGATTGCTTAAGAGAAGGTGACCCTGATACAATTGTTGATCTCTCCCAATATAAATGTACAAGCTAACATGTCACATTGAATTGTGGTTAGTGATATGGGAGGTATACCATATATATATAGTACATGTATAGAGTAAGAGAACCATTGTTGTTGGTTGTGATTGTGGTCTTATATTTGTTAGGATTCGTCCCTATTTGGGGTTTCCCCTTGTGTGTGATGAGTGATGAGATATAGAATTAAGTCTCTTTGTTGGGACATACATTGTGATAGTTTGATTGAGCATTTATATATATCATATGATAGGCTTCAAATATCAACTTAGACTTCATTTCAAACTAGTTTAAATTTAAGGAATGTAGTTTATAGCAGAGGGGATGACAAATAAATTTAACTTGGATTTGGGAGAGAAAGATTTAAGCCAATTAAGATAAATTACTTGGATTTTACATTTTTTTTTAAAAACCTAAAGTAAAATAGTAAAAAATGAGTTAATTTGGTTTGATGAGTGATATTTAAAAAAAATAAAATTTATTGTATCAGTTGAAGTTAATTGAATTTAATAACCATCTCTTTTAGTCAAATGTATAATTTGGATTAATTGGATTATAAAAGATAGATAAATATGTTGAGTAACATGTCATTAGACTTTAAATCACAAGACTAATACTTGAATAAAAAATATTTGAGTTTCATTAGATTGTTGTGGTTTGGATCTGACAATATATAAACTAAATTGAATGTATTCAAAATTTTACTTCAATTTTTGAAATTCATCCATTGGTATGATGAAATAACTTAAGCACCCCTAATTAATTATGTCATATAGAAACACGTATGGAGTATGCTCCTGCATATTAGGAGTCACTGAATAAATTACTTACAGTGATCTGGCTTGCATATAGTATGTACAAATTTATAAATTAATCATTACCTTCATGTGGTCTACTGCCCTGTCGAATAAATGAATAAAAAATAGGCCAAACATTACTATGGGATACAACATATTCTTTTTTTTTATTATTTTTTTATTGGCACGATAAGAACTTGCTTCCATCAAATTGTTGCTAATCGTTTTATATAATAAATCTATTATTCTGTTTTACATTCATTCTCATTCAAATGACCGATATATTACTTAGCATGTAATATCTAGATATCAAAATGAGAGGTTAGAATAAATGTTAATCGTCATTGTATTATATAATTTATATTCCACTGATATAAAAAAAAAAACATGAATTTTACTTATTTTTAAATAATTGAGATTATTCTATATAAAAATGATTGAGACTAGTTTTATATTTAAAATTATTTACTTAAATATATAAATTTAATTGAACATTTAAGGAGTAAAAATTAATGTTTTTAAAACTAGACCGATTATTAAATTGAACCGGTATTTATAAAATAATAATAATAAATAATATCATAATTTTATAAAATTAAAATTAAAATAAAATATCATTATATATATATTTTTTAAAATGCACGTAAAAGTATAAATATAATATTTAAATTTTAATTTTAATAAAATATAAAAATACATATCAACAATTTTATATTTAGAGTAAAACAATCTTAAATTAATATAATATAAAATATAAAATATCATGACATAAAAGTTATAAATTAATATAAATGACTAAATTATATCTTTATAAGAAAATTATTAAAATAAAAATAAAATAATTATTTTAATTTATAATTTTTATTAAATATTTATCATAAAAATATTTTAAAAAATTAGAGAAAAAAACATTTTTTTAAAATACTGATTCAATCAGTTTTCTAAATCAATTTTTGATCAATACTTTTTTATTAGTTTTTTTTATATACCAATTTTATGGTTTGTCTAAACTGGTAGACTAATCAATTCTTTGTTCGACTTGTCGAACCGGCCAATCCGATCCAGTTTTGACAACACAGGTAAAACCTCATAAATATAACATCTCATTTACTACCTAGTTACAAGTTTGAACCAATGAACACCAAAATTAAGCATAAACTTATGACAAATTTCTCATATGTTTTTGGGTTCATACCCGTTTAAAGCCACAATTAGGGCTGCAAACAAGTTAGGTTAGATTGAGCTTGGATGAACTATATTCTAGTCACAAGATTGATCTCGTCATTGGAACACTTAAAATGCTTTTTTTTCTTCTAATTTTTTGTCTATCTCTCTTCTGGAGCATCCCCTATATTTTAACCTGTTCGTTCCTCCATCCTGATTTTTTGCCCATATCATGTTTCTCCGTTATCATAAATATCGGACATTCTCATTTCATTTTTCTCTTGTAAAGTAGTGGGTAGGTTTTTATCTTTATTTTATGTTTTAGTTAAATTATCGCTATGGGTCGAACAAATAGGTTGAATTTTTCCTATCATGAGCTCAATCAACCTACAGATAAGACATTAGATCGACATATGCACGATATACTATATAAATTGGCTTAAAATCCATGAGGGCATAGCTAAAGGTCTTTCATAACCTTATCATAAGCTTGGTCAACTTTCTCATAGTAAAACATGATTGATCGGATACAGATTTGTGAAGATAGATTATTTCATGGCCAAAATCCAAAACTTAGGAAGATCGAATTTCCCCTTATAAAGAAAGTTGGTGTAGGCCTATGAGGGTATAGACTCGTTATCCAAGAACACAAAATATATTATTATGCAAGAGTGACAAATAAGTACTATTATAAGTAAGTTATCATCTAAACATTGACTTATTTTATTATTATTGTACCCTCTGATAGTCAAGCACCAACTCTTGTCTTAACCAATTACCACGAGCTTAGAACTCGATGCTTTCCAGCCCATGATTATACGTCAGTAATTCCAAGTAGTTTGCAACCTGAGTCTCCTAAGAGCATCTGCAACCGGGGGTTACTTATAAGTAACCTCTTATGCCACATTACTATCACATCAGTTCTTGCCCACTTTATGAATTGCTTAAATTTTAGCAAAGTTTTTGCTTTGCTAAAATTTAAGCAACTCATAAAGTGGGCCAGAACTAATGTAATAGTGATGTGGCACGAGAGGTTGCTTATAAGCAACCCCCATTGGAGATGCTTTTAAATTCATTGTTGTTTTGGGACTAACACATATCTAGGGATGGCAACGGGGCGGGGCGGGCACGGGTTTCATATATGATTTAGAGTGCTCTGTGGGTTTCTACGGGAAACCCTATGAGAAAACAGGCAAAATATAAATGTTTTCTGTTTTGCTTTTTGAATGTTCTGTTATGTTCCTTGTGTGATGTATAATGTAAATATGTATTTAATTTTATAAATAAACGAGTTTTGATATAAAAAGTGCTCTGTGGAGGCTTTGTGAATATGATGAGATAATATGAAATGTGATAATGAAATGTGATGACGAAATGTGATGATGTGAAATGACCATGGGAAATGATAATGTGATATGAGAATGCATAGAGTCGTGATTGACATGCATCATTTGCATA